CAACAAAAGCACTGTGAATGTTATCTTCATAGTGTTTTACTGTGAAGTTTCAAATGTAAAAATATGGTCTCCCGGGTCTTAAGAAAACAAATTGGTCTCACATGATCGCAAGTGTGTGTGTGTATATATATATATATATAGAGAGAGAGAGAGAGAGAGAGAGAGATAGAGAGAGAGAGAGAGAGTCATCTATTCATTTGAGAAGTGGTAATTAAGAAGTAGAGAAGTGATTTTAACCCTTCATCTGGTCGGTTTTGAATGTGAAGCACTGGATAATTACTCGTATTGTATGTGGAAGATGGAGGGCTAATTTCGTAGCTTTTACAAATACGCGGCAAAACAAGTTCAGATATGAACTCATGTGATTCACATATGAACTATTTAATTAATTCACGTATAAACTATTGAACTGATTCATATATGAATTCGTATGAATCACATATAAACTAATTAACTTATTCACATATATACTAATTAACCCATTCACATATGAATCCGTATTATTCACATATTAACTATGAGTTCAAACATGCACTTATAGGTTCACATACACACTTGTTTGTCACCTATTTGTAAAAGTTACAAAATTACCCCTATTTTACGCTTGACCAGTCAAAACCGCAAATCTTAACAAATCAAAGCCGCAATTCTTGATCAATCTTGACCGTATGAAATGTTGTGGTCTCCTACAACTTCTAAGTCTTGAGGTTTGACCTCATCATGAAATGTTTTTGTCTAACACTAATACAATAGTAGACTATTATATTGGACTTATGATTGATATCAGAATTTACTAACGATTTGGAGATGGATAAGAGCAAATGCAAAATTTACTGTCACGAAATCTATTTCGTCATAGTTCTCGAGATGATACCCTAAAGTTCTCCTTGTATGTGTTGTTATGCCTTGAGCTCTTAAGAAGTATTTGATGGTATAAAGATACGTTTCAACGAGAGAATGAGCATGTCTACAACTTTGTCATCATTAGTAGCTCCTCGAAAAAGGGCTTCGTTAAAAAACGTTATAGAGACAGTACATCAGCAAAAGACATACACAAACAGACAATTTTTCAGACTCTCAACTGAGGTGTATGAGTTACAATTCCTTTGATGGATTGAGCTTCTTGTGAGTGCTCACCTTTTATAGTACTGACCTAACAGGCAATTTTGTACCTGATTATGAATCACTTGAATTACGTATTGATGTGTGACATGTTTATCTTTTGTGCTCTAACCGAAATAGTAAACTATGTAAAATAGTAGTATAATATGATATTCGATTTTTAACCAAAACAGTAAAATAAGTAACCAAAAACTTAATCGAATAAGTTATCATTATTCAGTTAACTGAACCAATTTGGTTTAGTTGGCTAATCTGGTTTCGGAATTTTTTGTCATCCTTATTTGTGCCCCGAGTCGTCTAAATTTCTAGATCCACCACTGAAGACGGTGTTGACTGGCTTCAGAGTTTCCGATTAAAAATTCTTTTGCACAAATATTGTACCAATGTTGCGGCAGCATAAGACATGTTATAAGATATACCAAAATGAAAAAGAAAAAAAAATAAGTTACAAGGTAAAAATAATAAAAGCTTTCAGCGTCCTATGTTCACAATCTTGAAAACCGAAATGATCTGATGTACCGCTGGATTTGCACCAGTAAAGAATCAAACCTGGTCTATTCTATAGCAGCATATTATTCTACCAATAGACTAATGATACTTTGATATTTTTTATCATATGATCTTTAATGAATATTGGATAAATACATAAACATAGAATTAATATTTAAATAAAATATATAAAAGTATTACAACTTAACAGACCTAAGATTTTACTACAGAAAAAGGTCAAGCAAAAAAAGGAAGTCATGGAGCCAAAATGTAAAAATACAAAAAAAAAGGAGGGGGAAAAATGTAAAAAGTTGAGCACAGAAGGGCCTGTTTTGTCAATCTTGAAAGTCAAGGTGATCTGATGATCCACCATCAGGTAGGCATGTCATCATGGCTCAACGAGTTGCACCAGCCGGGAATCGAACCCGGGTCTGTACCGTGGCAGGGTACTATTCTACCACTAGACCACTGGTGCTTTTTGCTTTGTTAATTCATTATATATTTTATGACATGGATATGGGTTACGGTTTAATATATTGGGTCAGGTTTGATATTTTTTAAATCATTTATTTATGCATTTCACGTATATTTATCGACTGTTTGACAATTGTTGAATGGTTTGGTGCAGAATGATTAAGAAGCTCTTATGATATAGTGCAAAATGAAATATAATTGTTTGGTAATTATGTACAATAAAATCAGGGCTCTTAATGGTTAAGGGAGATCCAGGATACAAAATCATTCAGAGGATTTTAGAACCATTAAGAAGCAGACTTTTTTTTTTGCCAAACAAGATTCACCTCTTCACGATTCAGAGGTTACCTCTTAATGGAACTATTAAGAGGTAAACAAACAACCTCTAAATCATCCCAGTTTTATTTAATTTTTATCTGTTTTTTAATAATCGACAGATCTTATCTGAAAGTTGATATTTTGGACCTAATCCCAGGTGCAATTGGATTATACTAAATGGTAGAACGTTTATAATTAAATTGGATTACTTGTAGGATAATATTATATACAGATTTTTCTAAATTTTCTTTTGAGTAGGCCCAAGTTGTAAACTCAAAAATCAAAAATGTTGAAGAAATTGGTACGAAACAACAAACGTGATATGAACCGATAAGCCATTGATGTGTCGCTAGATGTTGTTCATATCTGCTTCATACACGTGAAAGATGGTCAATGATAAAAAAGACTTTTTGTGTGTCTTTTACTATCATGAGTGATTCCGCCCGTGACTAAGGATAAGGTTAAGCGTCTAACTTTTTTTTAATATGGGTACAAACTCTTGTTTTTCACATCGGAATAACAAAAATGAGAGAACTTTGTGTGAGGATTAATTTTAATAGGTTTGAGAGTTTGAATCAGAATATGTTTTATCAATTTTGAGTGTCTTCGATGAATAAAAGATCAACGTTATATTTGTGAGTTATTTGCTTTACTTTCTTCATTTGTGACTTTGACACATTCGTTTGTTCGTCTTTGTTATTCCCATCCATTTTTATGTATTTGCTTGTTGGTAAAGTTACACATTTGTTTTAGAATAAAGTAGCTTTGGGACCTTGTGACCCTATTAAGAGGATGTTAACCCTTATCAGGTAGCCGCTTATCGGCTTGAGTCACTCGCTATTCTCACTTAACTTATGAGGGAAACGTTCCAGGCCATCCGAATGGATTGATGTAAGCATTTATAACTCTATAAGCGCTTATTGGGTAAAAGTCGTCACCTCAATACTCACGATCCTTGCCTCTGCTCTTACTGGATAAGGTAAGGTCCTTATTATGTTCACTTAGTAAGGTAATTAAACCGTTATAATGAGTTGTTTTATGAAGAAAAGCAAGAAGGGAAGAAAATATTGTTGGTTGAAGAAGATGGTTACTTTAAGTTTAATGAACATCTAGAAGTGGCACTTTTTTCTTTGCTTTGGGGATTTATCTGTGTTTTTTAGATATTATCATATATAATAATGATGGAATGGAATGGAATGGTCAAGTAGTTGGTTAAAGAGTCCATTTCTCCCTTATTCATCAAAACAAAATTACTACTTTCTATTTTCTAAACCTCTCGATGTTACATTCCAACAAACCTATTTTCATATTTTTGATTATTTAGATATCAAATATTAATGGTCTTAATATAAATAATTGTTCTATCCTTTGATAAAGTCATAGAGGTCAGATATTTATCAGACCTGACCTTTTTTCTTTGTCTGATGAGCCTGATGTTATAACAAAGGCTCGTTTTTACAAGCTAACATGCTAACAAAAATCTTATACATCTACAAAAGTAAAACTTATATAAAATTAATTTTATTTTTGACTTAGAGTAAGACATAAAAACATAACTTCTACTTACCTTCAAAGTTTTGGTGTATGAGATTTTTGAGTAATGAAAATCCAGATCGAAACTTAAAACATACTATATAGTATATTTTAAGGGGGGGGGGTCTAGATTCTAAAATTTATTGAATCGGAAAAGTAGTATAATAATTATTATATAGATAGATAGATAGATATAAACGAGTTGGGATGTCCTGTCTGGAATTCTTTTCTGTCTTTTAGGTATGTCCACTGATTTCAATAGTACAACACAGGGCCACCCTTTTTCGATAATAGTTGTCCAAATCCGCTTTTCTAATGGGTCGGTCCAGACGGGTCTAACAGGACATAATGTTTGTACACAACTCTAGATTGTTATGTTTGCATACATTCCACCCTCAAATCCTATTTTCAAGTGGTATTTAGGGCCTTTTTGTTGGTAGCTTAATAACTAACAACTTATTCGGTCAGCTAAGATGACTGTTTGATAATTCGCTTACTGATATAAAATATGATTTATTCAGTAAACTTTTAAGAAGAATTTTATGCAGAAAACCAAGTTTTTTTAAACCTGTCGCTCTCGATTAAAAAGGACTCAAATTCCAATTCCAAATACTCCCAAATGTGAAGGTGTGGTTTCTGTAGTTAGTATTGACAGCCATGTGATCCATGAAGTCTAACAACTAAGTTATGGCTACTATTGTCCAATTGAAAAGACTCTATTTCTAGACTAAGAAGATGGTACAATAAATTTACTTTGGAAGAGAGTGAAGTATGTATGTTGCCAAGTAGAAAAAGGTAAATGTGACAGATGGGTCCCCAGAAATTCCCAATGCATAAAAAGTTAAATGCAATCAATTCAAAGAGAATATGGTATTGAAAAGTGAAAAAGGGTCATTCATGCTATTGAACTAACCACTGGGATAAAAGTCATAGACAAGTTCATTGGACATCTACTACTACTTAACTTTATGCCTGGGATTCCCTCAATTTCAACAACTTGTGGGGGCACACACTTGGGAAGAAAGTTTCTGTCATAATCATATGCTTCTCTCCTAAAAGTTCAATTGCAATTAATTTGTAATTTGTTTCAGAAAACAAGAAATTGTCGATGAGTTTGCAAACGAAGCAACCTGTATACTTTGTTTCTTTTTCTTTTTGGTAAAGATTAACAAAGAGGAATGCATGCTTTACCATCATTGATAGTAGAATAAAACTTTGTGATGAACTCACCCGGGTTTTCTCCGGGACTTGAACGGAAAATTTGTTGGCGGTGATGGAGAGAACTCGAACGGTAAATGAGGTGGCTCAGCCTCGCCGGATAACATTCCGACAATCTCTCTCATTGTAGGACGCTTTACAGGCGATCGTTGTAGACATAGGAGCGCTGTTGTGATGCAGAGCATTGCTTGTTCTTGATCCAGTGAATGAATATTGGGATCAACAAGATCTAAGAGTTTCCCGTTACGTGCTAACTGCCTAGCCCATGAAATAAGATTAGCCCTTTCGAATTCGGACATTGGAGAGGCTGTTACTTGCAGTGGCCTTCGGCCGGAAACCAAAACCAGTAGCAAAACGCCGTAACTATATACATCGCTCTTCTCGGAGAGCTGCCCACCATCGCATTTCTCTGGGGCAATATAACAAACAGTTCCCCTCATGCTAGGAGTGCTGCTAATACCACCACTTTTGGGGATTTCTCCACCGGCACATTCTTGGCTATTTCTTCTCCGGTGTCGGAATTCACCACTCAAACCTTCTAACCACCAATCAATGCTTCCTTTACTACTACTTTTACTCTTTTTCTTTTGTGGCACAAATTCTTCATCATGTTGCCACCACATTTCTCCATTGTTACTTCCCCTTTTCTTCTTCTTCTTCTTCTTCTTGGATAATTCGTCACAAAACTCCTCTTTCCACCATTCTCTCGGCTTCCGATTCTTCTTTTCGGTTTCAGATTTCCTTTTCTGCTTTTTCTGGGGTGCATTGGTTGTACTGGCTTCAAGCTCTGTTGAGATTGGATCTGTAGTAGTGAGCCAATCTTTCTTGGGCCTCTCTTTCTTTATCTCGCTTCCAATCCACTCCATTACATAATCTTTCACTCTCCCTGAATCACCACCACAACTGTCCTGTTTCCACCACCAATCCCTTCCTGAACCACCTCCTCCAGGACCACCTGCACTCTTCTTTCTCCCCAAAAATCTCCGATTACTGCTATCAACACTGACCTGATCGGACACACTTGCCCTTTCCAAATACTCAGAAGTCGGCGCCTCCACATCCACAATCGTAACAGAACAGCTCTCCGGTGATAAGGGATCCATATTCACTACAACCTCTCCGGTTGCCACACTCTCAGTCTCCTCTGCCACTGACCTGTTTTCTTCTCTATAATCACCAATGTTCTCTCTCTTTTTCTCAACATCTGTATTGTTATCATCAGCTGTTTCTGTTTCTTGATCGCCTTCTTCTTCACCGCACTCGAGAAAACTTTCAATAATCTCATTCTCATCTACACCTAAAACTCTTGCCAGACCGAAATCAGCTACTTTCGCATTGAAACTACAGTCTAGTAACACATTAGAAGGCTTAATATCACAATGAACAATCGGTGGATCGCAAGAAAAGTGGAGAAACTCGATACCTTTAGCTACGTCTAGTAAAATCATAAACCTAATTTTCCAATCCATAAGCTCAGGACACTTACGATACAACAACGCGTCTTGTAAGCTACCGTTCTGCATATACTCGTACACAATCAACATTTTCCTACGGCGCCGCCGGTTCTGATCGGAGGAGAATCCTAAAACCGAAATAACATGACGTGAATGTGCACCACACGCGCCGTTGATCCGCGTGGATAAGGAAAGCTCATTGTGAAACTCTCTCTCTCCTTGCAACGATCCGGAACCGTTCATAAGCTTCACGGCGATCTCCTTACCGGACGGAAGCGCGCCTTTGTAAACCGAACCAAATCCTCCCTGCCCGAGCCTATTAGTTGCAGCGAATGCCGACGTAGCACGACGGAGAACATTGTACGAGAACTGCTGCAGCTGTTGCTGCGGCTGTTGCAGAGGAGACTTCAGATCCGAGGGAGCCGTACGTTTTCGCGAAAGTTTTCTGTATGCAATTGCAAGAACTATGAAAAGTGAAAACACTAGTACTCCTGCAAGTACCGAATGTAAGACAGGAAATCCATGGCGATGACGGTGGGTGTAAGGTGGTGCCGGCGGTGGCAAAGTAGTCGGAAAATCCGGTAACGTCGGTGGAAGCGTAGACATTTTTGTAATCAGATTGAGGATTCAAATCAGTCTCTCTTTCTCTCTCTAGAAATCTCTCTCTCTCTCTCTCTAGAACAGAGAGCTTATCCGATAAATCGCCTTCTTCACAGGTGGTGAGCTGAACCAGTGTGAGGTTTTACCAGAGGAGTGAGGGAGGAATGTTAAATTAACAGGGCGGTGACGGTGACAAGTGAACGACTAATTAAATTAAAGCCGAATAAATACACGTAGGCATATCGTTGGTTGACTAAACCTCTTTCGTAGGTGAGTATCGGCGTAGTCTGCATGCTTACGGCCTTTTCTGTTAAATATTCTTTTTTTTTAAATAATATAAAAAAATGTTAAAAATATGAAAAATAAAGAAAATTAAATATAATTAAATGTTTTCTTTTTATAATTTTTAGCTTCAATTTTAATTAAATTTTATTTATTTAAGGTTAAAAAGTAAGGATTCTTTTCATTTAAAAAAATAATATAATCACATTCTAATCGCATTTTTTGGAATACTGTAAAAAAAAAAGTATCTGTCGTTGTAATGATCAGTATCCTATTTTGTTATGAAACTTTTTGAACTGATTTTGATTTAAGGGTTAAGATCAGTGTCGTATTTTTATTTGAATTCATTGTTTTAGTCACCATCGATGATGAAGAATCTGTAAGATAAGTTTGCGTGATGGATTTGAAGTTTTAGAATTATTTTTATCATAATAATTTGGATCCTTGAATTTGGAAAAGAAATTTAGGCAACGAAATAAGTGTTCCTAATGTTCAACCTTTTATCCGATCAAAACCAATTTTAAGATTTGGTCCATGTGGTTTTGATCGGGTAAAAAACAAATAGAAAATGATAAAAAGACGAAAATATCCCTCATTTAACGGAATTTCTTAACAATCGTTAGCAAGATGAATCAAACTTGATGCTTTTGCAAAGCATGATAACTATCTCGTTATTCAAAAATGGAAGGAAAAAAAGTGTTATTTTTCAATACCCACAGGTAGGGGTGCTCAAAAACTCGATCAACTCAACGCGAAATAAATCAATCCGAAGCAACTCGATGTCTAATGGAGTTGTAAAATTTTCAAACCGTTGATATTGGGTTACTATTATTTGAATCCAACTCGATGAACCCGATATTTTTATTTCTTGGATTTAATATAATTGTTGAGTTATATTAATATATACATTAGACAGTTACACTATCATGTACGCTTTTCATATATACATATTTTCAATCTATTACTCATCTCTATATAACTCATTCGTATATATGTTCAGTAATTGTAAGCATATATATGTAAATTGAGAAAATTAATTCAATGTGATATACGTAAGAAGTATGAATAAGTTGTATTAAATGTTTGATGATAAAAAAGAAATTATGGGTAAAGAAATAACATCTTCAAGGTTAGAATAATATTTTAATGTACCACAGTACCAATCCAACTAATCCGATCAACCCATACGCCATACGGTATGAGTTGGGTTGGGTTGCACTTTGGTCTGAGTTTGGTTGAGTTAAGATTTTTTAAACTGCAAAAATTCAATTGAGTTATTCAAATGTCTTCAATCCAACTCATGGACATCGGTATCCACAGGGTTGAAATTTATAGTTTATTCTAAATTAAATATTCCCTCGGTCCTAAAAATCGCACACAATTTAAGAAACATGTCATACTTTTTAAATCATTAAATGACAACTTTTATCCTTGAAAATAAAAACTTATTTTCAAAAATGGACATTTATTATAAAATTAAAAGGATGCTCGTACAATATAACGAGATAAATCTTCATTTTAATTTTTAGTTTTTATTCTGTCTATATAAATATAATATAATTTTATGTGGTTATGAAAAAACGATAATGTTTTTATTTTTTAATGAAATATAAATTTAAAAATAGCATAAAATTTTAAAAAATTAATAAATCAATATTAGTATCAAATTAATTATTTTTTTTGTGTAACTTCTTTAAATTAATTTTTTATTATAA